GGAATCTATCATTAGTTGTATCAATTAGATGGTGAGAAAAAATATAAATCAGAACTATATTCTACAGTATCAGTCATTGTAAGATATGTCAATCATAAAAGTTACGAAATCGTCTATTCTATTGCGATTCTCAGTGATCAAGTGAGGATCTGATAGAAATCATAAATTAAATTATTTAATCCATAATAAGTTTCGTATAATAGAATATTAATTATTAATTAATAATGTTCCAAATTAAATATAATAGCCCTTCATAATCAGTGAGTGAGGGAAACTCATGCTCCCCGATAATGCTATGCTAAATCATACTATATGAGGTTAATTTAATAACAAGTATTCATTCCATTTATTTGACATATTTCCAGTGAACGGATCTCTATAAAATCCATGAGTTTGCATAGAATCTTGGTTATTATGTATGTTATAGTGCAAGACTTCATGAGTCTAATCGAACAGCAGTAGTACTTCTAGTTTAAACAAATGACACTCGTAAAAATTAAAACATTTTTTTGAATACCATTGCGACAACTGCATATTTTCAGTCGTGATGGAGATCTCAGATTGATGTCGAATATATTCAGGATATTTTCAGACAACTATAAGAAAGGTGAATAGAGCACAAAGATTTGATGATTAGTTTATATTAAAGAAATATCAAGTTAATCATCGAAGTCCTAATTCAGATTTTGGAATGAGAAAAAGAAAAGGTTGTTATGGATAAATTTGCATAATATAAACAGTTGTGATTAGATTTTTATTTCAAATATAATTACTTACTAGATGTACAAGGAAAATCATCTGGTCTCCAAAGACGTAATGTCTGTAAATGAGGCATATAAGTGCTAAGAAAAGAGACAAGATTTTTGCCAACAGAAATCGATTCATTTGAATCACGATGACAACTTGGAACGCCAAATTCAGCATATTGAACAGTACGAAATATGTTATTTTTTAATTCATTAGATGCCTGAAAGTAAAATGAAAGAACAAGTAAGTCACTAAAAATTATAAATATATAATATCTTGGGTGTGAATTTGGCTGTTGAGATCAACAGGGGGAGTTCATACTCACACCCACACCTACATCCCACACCCTCTCTGATTAGTCTTGCAAGTATCGATGAAATCGTGATTATGATAGCTTAACTGAGCTATCTGTCTTTATTTTACTTAAAATGAGATAGTATACGGGTTTTGAAAAATATGAAGGATTTGGTTTATTTCTCCAACATTCAATTAATTGTAACTGATCACCGTTGGTAGATTCTAAAATAAAACCAAATTTCTACATTTTATACACATTGATAAGTTACGTATATCCTTACGTTACCTAGTCATCAGTATTAGTTGTATGTAAATTTGGTTTAAATATAAGCATCATGACGACCACAGCAATAGTTGCAACAAGAAATTGCATAAACAGCGTCAGCAGGAATGCTACCACCATCAGTGCGAGCATTAAGGCCAAACTCAGTACAATTAGTATAGTTATACATATAAATATGAAGCGGAACAACAGTATTATAGACAGCATTAAAATTAACATTAAACGGATTACCAGGGCAATTACAACCACGATAAGTAGAACCAAGACCAATAGCAGCATACCTGTTATCATAATATTTACCAGTATTACATTGAGCATTAGTACCATTACTACAACCAGGGATTATACAGTGATTAGTATGATTCGGACGACGACAGTAGCAACCATCTGATTGTCCAGTTCTAGGATTTATTGTTAAAAACAATATTACAATCATAATGACTTTAGCAGCAGCCATTCTTAATCGTTAGTGAGTGAGAGAAAATTTCTACAAGTGACGATGAAAGAACGGTTTTTTTTAATGATATTCGAGTTTTAAACGGTTTACTCCAAACATGAAAAATAAAAGAAGAAAGCGGATTTTTCTCTCTCATGTATACGTTTTATCTTTATGATATTTCTATATGAGAACCAGGAACATAGATAATATTGCACACCTGTGCAAATATTTATTGAATTCAAATATAAAAACTGCAGAGTGAAGAGGAGAGTGAGTGATATGTTTGCTGGCGGTTTCGACAAATGCTCATTTTATCGTTGTATCAGGCAATTTCTGATCTAAAACTAATGATACTTAGTAGGAGATCACTGGAAAAAAAACGCGGAATAATAAACGATTTAACGGTTTATTAAAATGTGACGCATAAGAGAGGGTGTGCGTGTCAGTGTCTGGGTGGAGTGAGGGTGAGTATAGCTAGCCAAGAAGTGTTTTTTGTTTTCCTATAGGAATGGTTTATGCTACATATCGTGTGATTTCAGTGCCTATGGAGAAAAAAAACTGTCTTCGTGTCTTTTGATCATTTCTGTTTTCTGATTCGTCGGGAAAGTAGAAAGGAGAGTATCATGCAGTGTGTGGGTGTCTTCTTCTATAGCCACACACACACACACACACACCCCTTTTTATTGAAGGTTATTCTCGGCAAAATTGCAAGTGGCATGGACGTTATACATGCCATCATGAATCAGGGTATGTTTGAGTTTGACTAATATTATTTTAGTAATAAGCTGTTTATTATTTTAGGAAGTGTTACTGGTCGACCTAAAACAGATATCATGATCGTCGAATGTGGAACAACCAATGAGAACTAATATTGTGTTGTTGATTATTATCTCATAAGAACAAATAAATATATTATTTGTTTAATAAAAGACAAATTTCAGAATAGATATCAGGAACGAATTGAGGATATTTGCGATGGCAGTCACGATCAAAAATGACTTTCGATATCTATTTAAGGTAGTATAATCCCTTTTATTTTTGACTTCAATAGAGAAACATAGAAAAATGAATATTTCGCGATGGAATGGCGATCGGCAGCATGCTGAAGCGATAAATACGCCACTGACACATACATAGAATTCCTCTGATGATGATTTCTACTATAATAATTATTCATCTTATTTTATCGTATTTTGTTTTTCTTGAACTATTTTAGAAAAACATCTATCGAACGAAAAATATAGAAATAAATATGAAGTATCAAATTTGAGAATATTTTATTGAAATTGAAATAATAATAATAAACTTGTGAAGAGACACTTTTATTCGATATGAGCGACATACTATTTATTTAATCAGATCTATAATAGAGAACACGAATGTTCATCGGCATATGAAATACAAGAAAGAGAGAGAAAAGTGATGCCATTCTTTTCCGTCTATTTACCGTCAATTTCGATTATGGAAAAAAATTTGTCTTTGTTTTCATTGACGAAATCGGTTAAATTGTATACGTATATATAAGCGAAAAAAATACACATAAAGATAAATATGGAAGGTTCTTTGTTGACTTTAATTGATTTACCTGATGAGGTTCTTCTTCTCATTTTGAAAAACTTGGACAATATTGAAGTGCTCTACTTATTCATCGATTTAAATAAAAGATTTAATAAACTTTTACATGATTCAATTTTTACCAATCACTTAACAATGACAGGATGTTCTTTTAATGGTTCATTTGATCGATTAGATAACCAAATACTTGATCGATTTTGTTCACAAATTTTACCTTCGATTCATCATAACATCAAATGGTTAGATGTTGAATGTTCATCTATGGAAGATGTTCTTCTTTGTACAAGTTATCCCTATTTATGTGGACTTGGTTTACATAATATCGACAAGCACATTGCATTACGTATATTTACTGGTGAGAGATTTTTCTTTCATTCATTAATATTTGAAAAATATAGATAAATCAATACAATTATTTTTAAAAAGATTCTTCTCAAAATTGTATCATATGACATTTGGTTTTCTATATGAACAGAAAAGAGAAAAGTCTTATTGTAAATCAATTTGTTTAGTTAGAGAAAACTAATATTTACTTTATAAGAAGAGAGAAAGACTAGAATAGATGCGATAATTATCATCCAAATATTTCAAATATCTTATCATTAATTTTTTTTTTATTTAGAAGAAACTCCTTTAACTCACATATTTCAAGATAAAATTTCATCACTTGTTATTGATGTTGTTCAATATGGAAGTTTCAGGATGAATGACACAAGCAATTCAAATATATTTGCCAACATTTTAACTTTATTCTCCAAGTTAAAATATTTCGATTATAGATCATCGTTTTGGTATCAATCATTATTTGAAATGTCTACAACTATTTCCTCTTCGATTCTGTTAGAATTGCATATCAAACTGGACAAATTTACAGATTGTCTTTATCTACTTGATGGTCGTTTCGATTCACTTGAAAAAGTTTTTCTTGATATTTATCAAATATCTACGCCAGAGATAGTAATTAATAATAAAGTAAATCGATCCATTTAATATTTACTACTTCAAAATATTTAATGTTTTTAGAAATTACCGAAGCTAAAAGCGTTTTCTCTCTATTCTGACCAACCTACATTTCAATATAATGAATTGATTGTGCCACTTCTACACCGAATGGCCAATCTAGAACAACTCGATTTACATCTTGTCGTGCATTGTGAGAAAAGATTTGTTGACGGTTATAATTTGAAATACAATATCATTAATCGTTTGCTTCAATTAAATAAATTTCTATTTAACATACGATCATGTCTATATCTAAACGATCAAATTTGTTTATTATCAAATGAGGATTGTCAACATTCATTCAATGATTTTAAAAATAATAAAATTATTTCATGTGTCGATTATTTTCAAGTTTTCAAGCATGGTCAATGTCATATTTATTCATATCCATATAGAGCAAAGACATATGAATATATTACAAATAATTTTCCCGGTGGATTATTTCAATATGTTCGTGAAGTTTCATTATATGACGACCGTCCTTTTGAACATGAATTTTTTGTGAAAATTGCTAAATCTTTCCCATTTATGGAACAATTAACTATATACAATAGGAAACCACAGAAGAACAAATCTTATGAGCAATCAAAATATGATAATCAACATTTATCACCTATTCAATATCCTTATCTGAGTGTACTTGAGTTGTTGTCGGCTCATGATGATTATGTCGAGCAGTTTCTATTGGATATCAAAACATCTATAATAAGAACGGTCAACGTTCAAGTTCTACTTTCAACGTTGGATAGAATAACACAAAGTTTTACGAGAGATGCAACACGAATCAATTGTGGAAAACTATTTTCTATATATGTACCTCGTGATATGTCGATTTCAACACAACTCAAAGACTATTTTCCTCATACAAAAATTTGTACTATTTGAATAAAACTGATTAGAATTGCTGAATTATTGTCAAATAACGATGTGTAAAATAAAATAAAAAAGAAACAACTTGTTCTGTGTCGACCTCTGAGCGGGTTTTTCAGAAAAATTGATCTAGCACTATAACGGTATGAAATAAAATTTCAGAATTTTTAAAACATCCTTTTTTCTTCAGAGATTGTCATCTAAGCTACACTTTTGCCACAGACTATTTTTCCATAAGCCGTATCGTTGTGTAGAATTTTGAAGTTTTCATGGATTCAGTGAAATGACGGTCCTTTTTTTTCTGATTCCATCACGGTATCTAATTGTTCTCGTTAAGCATATGAATAAGAACAGCAATCTTGATATAACTTATGGCACATGTAGAGCAACTAGGACTACGTGCCATGTGAATCATATGTTTCTAACTCACCGATAATGCAGAATGTACATGGAGAAAAAGGGATTCGGTCACGCTTGGACAGGTTGATATGTTATTTCAGGGAAAAAGAACTGACGCATATGAAAAGTGAAAATCTATAAGATTTTCATTATTATAAATCAGATATGTCAAATGGATTGGATTGATCCTGATCTACCTATCATAGTAAACAGTAATCAAGAGACGTGAGCAACAGAAGTTTTCAAAATTTTTGATACAAAGGTGTTCGGGCAACGACTTTTTAGTTCAGTTTGTTCACGTAAAGCGACACTTCATACACTGTTTCATTTGAAAGAAATGATTATGTAGAGCAAATTTGAAAGTGTAAGAAAACGTATTTTGCTATTTAAAAAATTATTTTTGTGAGCCTCTAAAATGACAGAAATGAAAAGTGAATCTTTGATGAACAATCTTAATTGAAATAAAAGAACATCGTAGTTCAATTTGTTTTACAAACATAATCGAATACAAATTTTACAAAGCAAAGTAAGTTCGACAATGATAAGCTTAATTGCTATGCAATTACGTATATTCTCTTTTAAAATAAAATATTATTGGGGGGAAAAGAGAAAAACTAAAAAGCATACTCTTGTTCACGACACCTTCAATAATTCTTCATCACGAAGAAAGTGATTCAAGTAAAACTGTATTCATCGAAAAGAAAACGAAAACATTCTTCTTCCACATCGTTTCTGGAATCAAAATCTATATCTGAACCAAGACATCTAAATACTAGAAGATGTGAACTTCCTCCTGAATATTAGGGAAAATGAATGTAACATACTAATGATATTGTTCTCTCAATTGTAAACTTTGTGTACTTATAAATAAAATAAGAACTAATAAATATCGTAATTTGAATTTTTTAATACAGCTCACAAAAATGATATAACTACGTTTTAGATGCGAATATTTTTTTTAAATCTAAATAGTTTTACACCAGAACGTATATATATATATATATGAATTTCTTACATTTCTGATTTCAATATGTAATTGAAAGCATGAAGTGTGAACAATACTTCCAAAGAGAAGGATCAATTATCTTCAAAGAAGGGAGGAAAAGCAGATGACAACAAATGTTGTACAATAGCCGCATAGAAAAGAAGAGTAAAGGAATATAGGAATAAGGGAAATGTGGAATGAAGCAATAACGGAATAGCGATCGACCGGGCACCATATATGTTGACGTGCTCCCTTATATGAGCCATTGAGTTACGTTTGTTAATTGTTGCCTTTCAAATCTCGAATATGCAAAGGCGTCTGTTCATTTGATGAATGGTACTTCTTAACAAAATAGTTTCTTTTTCTTTCTAGTCAAAAGTAAATTGTGAGCAATGGAAATAACAAACGTATCTTTTCATTCTTAGTGTCTCTTCATGTATCTGTCTGGTGTCTATCTTTCCGATGCTGAATCGGAAAAAAATAACAGTGTACAAAAGCCTTATCTAATGGAGTGTAGAGACCTAAGATTATAGCTATAGTAACAGTGACATAAGTATTTTGAGTATCAAAATACATCAGAATAGAAATAGATTTCCTTAGTCGACATTGCCTATGAGAATCTTTGAAAATTCTCTATTGCATTTCTGATTCTCTGAGAAGTTCCTAATAGCCAAGCAAAAAATGAGAATGCGTTTCAAACTTTTCAGAGAGTTCCCGAGAAACTCTTATAGAAAGAACCAACTAGGATTATGCACAAAACAATGCATTTAAAGTCTCGAAAAAACATGTGAGCTGAAAAACACTTTTCGTGTGTAGGCAAAAAAGAAAAGTTAAGATTAAAAATATAATATGTGTCGAAATGTAGTTGTTCTTCTTTGTGATCTAAAATAAAATAAATAAAAATATCAACTAAAATGTTTTCTCAAAGTAACTAAATTGAAGTTTATTAAGGGTGTGGGTGTGATGAATAATCAAATACTCATACCCACGTTCAAGATTTCTGAAATTTTAATTTTGTAAGCCTAAATCTTTACCACCATCCATCCGAAATATTAAGTTGTGCTTTCGATTCAGTTCTTATTAATCCTTTATCCTACGAATCAAGTCAACGTCGTAAAAACAAAATAAGATGAAAATTCAATTTTAACTAATAAAGTAGAAATAAAACTTGCAAAAATAACTCATATAGTAAAGCACCTTCAATGAACGTTTAATACAATGACGCTTTATTAGTGACAATTGAGTTAAAGATGAATTTCTCTCTTGTTTATTTAAAAGTAACGATTAATTATATATATATAAAACAATAAAATGTATCCTATAAACAACTATTAAGTCTTTACCACCAGAAATACAAGTCATGATCAACAAATTTAATAAAATAATCATCAAGTAAATTTTCTGATTTAATTAAAACATTAAATTTTTGTAAATATGTTTTAGGTATATCTGTAATACATAAGTAAAATAAATGATGCATTTTTGATAAGATACATCGCGTAATCGGAACGATTTCTTTTCTACATATTCCAGTTTTAAGACATTCTAATTGTGGGAATAAATTAACGACAAAATTAATTTCTTCTAATGAACAACAATGAAAAATTTCTAAATTTTGAATTTTATTTGTACTTGATGTAGATTGAAAAATTTCACTTTGTTGAATTAATTTTGATTTTGTTTCATCAATAGATTGAAAATTCCATTTTAATGTACGTAAATTAGGTGTGAGACTTATTAAATTCCGAAGTTCTTTAATTGGAAAATCATTACAATCAATAATCAGTTTGCTAAGTTGTTTTAAAGGAATAATTTGATCAAGAGCTATAAAAATTGAACCATGATATGTTCTAGCATAATTTTTAACCGTTAATTCAGTTACATTGGGGGAATAGCTAGCAGAATTGTTCACAGCTCGCTTACCACAAATATAAATATGTTTAACTGATTTGAAATTACGTTTTTGAGAATGTAAATGATTGTAGTCATGGAATCCCCAATGGAATGTATAATCTTTTCTTCTAAAATAAATCAATAAATGTAAAAACTTCGTCAGCAAATTCTATTTTCAACTATAATGTTACTTTAACGGATAACTAAAGATAAGCGGAATTAACGTTCTTTTGATTTTCACCCTGGACTCTTCATTTGATCTTATCCTAATTCTACACATCTCTAATATCAATTTCAAAATAAAAGGCAGGTTGTCATTTTTCGAATCACCTTTGACAGATATACGATAAAGAGTTGCGGTTTTCACCGTTCGAGAGAGGACACCGAGTGGCCATCCTAGTTTCGCAGTCATCCGAAGCTTCTAAATCACTGGTGCCAAATGTTTTTTTCCAACATTCACTATTTAGTGACATCATAAAACAATCCTGGCCTAATAACTTCGGATGACTTCAAAACTACAAATCAACGTCGCCATTGGACTCATACGATTAGCTAATAGTTGATCAATCAATTCTTGCATATACTTTGATGGCCGCTCGGTGTCCTCTCTCGGACGGTGAAAATCACAACTCTCTATCGTGTTCCTATGAAAATTTATTCGAAAACTGACAACCTGCCTTTTATTTTGAAATCAACATTAGTGACAACTTATAATAACACTTATTGCAAGGAAAACGTATTTAATAGCATTTGGGTTTCAGTCGTTCTCAGAACGTATTTCTGAAATCGTTTCTCATGTCAATCTATACTGGTTATCAATCGTTTTCTCTTTATTGCTACGCAAAACGTACTCATTAATCTTTCATCCTGATTCTTATTTTTTTTTCTTCAAAAAAACAATTATTCATGTTTTCTTACCGATATGGATTTGTTGAAAAAAAAATTCCATTATTTGAACTTTCGTGGCAATCATGTTCGTGTTCGAAAAACCATTGTTTTTCAATCCAAAATTTTGATTTATATTGACCACTTAAACAAAGATATAAGAATCTATCCATTGCTTCAGTATAATGATTTTGTAAATCAAAAATACGTAAATTTGGCATTGAAGATGAAATTAATTCTTCCCATTGTTTTGCACGTGAATATGCTGAATTTTTATATGTTGAAATATGTAAAATTTCAATAGAATTAAAAAAGTTTTTTATTAACATTTCAAATTGATGGAAATTAATCGAGCAAAGTCCAAACGAGACATATTTTAAGTCTTTTAATACAATTGGATAGAAATCTATCTCGGCATGATTTGATCCAATAAGAGAATTAATTGATAAATGACGAAGTTTTGGAAGACAAATTAATAATTTTTTAAATGATTCATATCGAAAAGGACTATCAATTATAAGATATTCAATAGAACTTTGTTTGCATTCATCAAAATCTATCGGTAATGCATGTTCATTATATTTTATTTTACAATATTTTAATTTTGTTAAATCAAATATATGAGTAAAAATAAAACTCGGATTTTGAATGTTATCAATAGGAGAAAGAACTAATGAATGTAACTTTGGTAAATGAATTAAATGCTTAAGAATGTTATTAAGATATTTTGAATGAATATTATCGAAAATTAATTTTTCAAGTTGTATAAAATCACAAATAATACGTGGTGGTGAAAAAATAATATCAACCGTAAATGAATTGGATAAACGAAGAATTTTTATCCGATGTTTATTTGGTTTAATAACATTTTCATGATAAGATTCAAAATTTGATTTTGATATTGTCGAAATATTAACTTGAAAATGGATATTTGAATTACTAACTAAGTTTTTAAATCGATTATTAAGATAATAGAAGCCATAATAAATATCGTAAACATCAAGATATTCAAATATCTCATAAATTATTTCATTTGCTAAATTTTCAAAATGAAATCTAAATTAAATAATTCGAGATTATGAAATAGATATTAAAACGACTGACTTATTTGTTGTTACTAATAATTTTTGTTTTTTGTTGTTATCATTATTATGAACAATGTCGTCCAATTTTCGTTTTATTCGTTGCATGTTTACAATAAGAAATAACGATGATACTGATCGAGAATAGTGAAAACGAATATATATGATCGATGAGTCGTCCTACATATATAAATATATACACGTGGAATGATGCTTTCTCTTTCTCTCTCTCCCATCTATGCGTTATTTTCGATCAGTAAAAATAGTGGTTATACTAATAATTTTACTTTTAGCTATGCTAATGTTGATCTAAATGTTTTTTCAGTCCTTTATTTGGTTACTCTTCTTCTGGTTGAAATTCGTGGGAGCTGGAAAGTGAAACTCATCGCATTGAATGTTATAAATTTATGAAATATTATCAGATAGGTTAAGATAATTTATTTTAAAAACTTCCCAGTAAATGAATGGCTCAAAACACTAACTATTTTAATACTTAATATGCACGCTTTGAAACTTTGTTATCTAAAAAATATTACCATTATAATTACTTTTCTACCGACTAATTTGATTCATTGAAGATTATTATACTAAAAAATGACTTGCATTGAAGGTGTGGGTGTCAATTAAGAGAAGGCTGATGCCCACACCCACACCCCATTCTTTTCACCGAAATCGCAACAAAAGGTTAGTATTCTGATTTTACGTAATTACTTCGATACAATCTGTTTTGAGAACGAACCGAATAAGGTTGCTTTTACTCTCATTAAGTTTATCTGGATTAATATTGCAAACGTATATTATCTTTAATCCGCCGTGCACAAGTATATCTGCACTTTGTCGAGATTAAAGAACGAAAACTTTTCTCATTTTCAAATCAAATGAATACTTGGTATTCTGAGATATTTGGCCACAAAGCAATTCTAAAGGACGATAAATATGAATATTCAAAATGTACATCTGAATCGAAATCTGAATCGAAATCTGAATCGAAATCTTGAACTATTTTCTCTCGTATGGTATACTTGGAGGTGGGTGTGGATAACTAGACCTAGTACACTGGCATCGCATCCACACTCACATTCTTAAGGATGCATTGGAACAGTATAGAAATACAATTCAACATTATCAGGATTTATATCAGCAAGGTGCCATATGTTTGAATGTGGACTGCTACAGACAAAGTTTTATCATAAAAACAGTCACGAAATCATGCTAATGATATTACCTAAATCCTATTTAAATTATCTTATAAACAAGGTTTAGTTAAATGATCAACAACAAACTTTATATGAACTATCTTTATTCTCAGTTAAATGTATCACATGAATAATTTAAGAAAAAAACTAATCCTCTCGATCTATGTAGAGTTTTCAATAGTTTTAGAGGCCATGGTAATCTTGATATTGTTTTAATCAAAATCATCTGCTATTGCATTTGGATGATCTTGTATTATATGATTTTCGCGAGCTTCTAATGTCTGCCAACCATAACAGCACACCAAGCAATGAAGTTCAGCTTTATAGCGATCATCTGGATGACTTTTTTCATTAGGTTTGAGATTCCCAAGATAATCCATATGAACATTGTTTGTTGTAATTGGGACATGATTTTCATTAAAATGTTGTTCTAGATCTTGGTTTAATGCAAATGTTTTCGAACATCTTGGACATTGATAGTTATGAAAAATGAGTTTACTATTTAATATTTTTGACAAATCACTTGCTAAATCATTAAATTGTCGAAGACGACAAATTATAGCTTCAACAGCAATATTAGAACCATTTATTCCCATGAAATATACATTTTGGGTGTGGGTGTGTGCTCACGTTGCACGCACACTCCACACCCTCAGGTTTATAGAAAAACAAATCAAGGGCAAGCGTTCATTATTCTGCCCTTTTTTTTACAGTGTACTATCGACGATCTGCACAGCTGCTACAAACAGCCAGCAGTGTCAAAGTTCCGAGAAAATGTCACTTTTCCTACCCAAAGTCCCGTTGACAGGTGCTGCCACCAGTAAGGTCCTACGGTGGGACTTTAGGTCGAGGGTGAAGGACTTTTCACAGGACTTTAGGCAAAGTGGACTTTTTCTGGATCTTTGCCAGCCCTCCCATAAACAAACATAATTTCTCTTCTTATATACAACTTTTTATCGTTTTGTAGCATTAGGAATATGCAAAGAAGACAACCGGAGTTTTGACACTGTGTCAATAAAGAAAACTAACTTCAAAGATAATTTTGCTTTAACTGTTGTAAAAAAAACAATACTCGTCAGATTTATGGCTCGTCAAATAAGCTTACGTATGTGCTCTTCACTGCATTATACTTCACTAATTTTCTGGAACTCATGTTTGTTCTCGAAGAATATAGCGAGTGTGGATGTGGTTGTATTTGTTATACAAGATGTACACCCACACCCAACAATTAATCATACATAAAAATGTACATCACGATTTTCTTGACGGCAATATAAGTTGATTTTATATCGAATTCGTTCTTATATGAAATGTTAAGTTCAATGAGAATAGATGAATCGAGTAATACGAGTTATTGATTGATTGATCGATCGTCGGTGATTTCTATTTATATGATTTCTTTTTATGGACATTCAAAATAAAGCTGAGCATCATTCATCATCACACCTATATCCCCTCATTACACATCCGTTGCATGAACATTTTAAATTAAACAAAAAAATGACTTTAATAAGAAATATTGTGAATCCTATTCGAAGATGTTTTGTATACAATCAGTTGACTAGTATATCAGTCAATGTAAGTCATCATGTGTAATGCGTTCGTTTAACTCGTTTTTCACTAACTGGTGTGTTGGATTGCTTATGCAGACTGTTGTTAAGCCATATATGTACTGGAAAATGAAGCTCATCGTTGTAACTGCTAAACCGAAAGTCTCGACCGACTTTACATATTGAATCACTGGCATGTTGCCTGAGCCATATATTGATCTCATCGGCGAAACTATATGTATCACGTCTATAAAATGTGACATTAGATAAATGTTCCGCTCGCTCTAATATCATCTTTGCATCATTCATATTTATAATATCAGTAGCAAGATGCTTGATGTGGTGAGGTAATTTTAAACAAATATCATTCAGAGACATCGATAGCATCGTCTGAAAATTATTGCAATTTATTTGAAATGAGCGAAGATTCAATGTATATTTGAATAAAGTACCGATTACGGCGTCTAAACCATGAGTTTCAATGTGAGATCTGTGTTTACAATGCAAGCATATTATTTGAAGGTTTGAGAGATTAAGAATTGTAGAGAGATATTTAATTGATCTCATTGGCCAGTGAGAACCAATCATCAGTGTAAGTTCTCTCACGTTTTGAAATAGATATTGCGTTGTTCCATTCGTCTGAAAAACAAATTTGAAGAATGTTTAAAGAAGTTTGAATGCAATAAAAATTGGTTTCTGGTGAAATCTACACAATTGAACATTATGCTTGAACTATCTTCAGAGAATATTTCACAGAGACATGATCTTCAGAGCTATATGGTATATGTACAACATTTTTTTGTACAATATTTTGCAATGAAAACGCATGAATATATATATATTATTCATTGAAGAATAAAGGAATGTTTTATTCGAGATAGAAAGATCCATTTAACTAATTAGATTCTTATAGTTATTTGAAAATTTTCTTTCGTTCATTGTAGGTATCCTAGTACAACACGATTTAGTCAAATAAAAGAAAAGCTTTTTCGAACGATTTTGAAAATTTTTCATTTTTCTATCTATTTCATTACTAAATTATTCAAAGTAGAATATTCTCATGTTTTTCTTTGACACCTATATTCACCAACTGATAACGTTGACTTACATTTTGCTGTGTATCATTACTGATATATTTATTTAAATCTAAGGATAATCGTTGTGTATTGATAATGACTGCAGAATGGTTATTCATATTGTTCGTTGCCGAACGCAGAATTGTATTTTCTCCGTTCAAATAATCAAAACTATCTTGGCAGATTGTTGTAGAATAGAGATACAACTGTTGACCATATCTGTTTTCTACATGGTCACATTTAACGAACCAACCTTTAGTTTTGAGCCAAAATGATGTTCGAAATGTTGAAATTATTGATTCTACAGTAGTATTATCTTCATGGGGATTTAATTGTTTCCTAAACCAGAATTCGAACTTTTTCAAAGCAGATAATTTCTTTTCAATAAAATTCTCCCATTGAAAACCATCGAATAAGAAAATATCGGATAAATGTTGTAGACCAATCAGTCGAAGATGTGTTAGCATAGGTAGATGCACAAGAAGTGATTGTATATTATCTGTTGTTAGATTGTAACGACTGTTTAATGAGAGTGAAGATAAATGACATAACTGCTTGATATCATATTGCGTAATAATCGAATGTTTAAATGAAACTCCAGCAGAATCATCTTTCAAAACTAATGCTCTCAGGAAAGGTAAATGAGAAAGAACGAAATAAACTGTACTCCAACTATACCATTGAGCTATTGTAACGTGTTCCAATCGGCATGATACAGGCCATTGTATTTCATTGAGAATTTGTTCACTTCCATCGAACTCAAATTCACGAAGATTGTGATGCGATAGAATGAATGATATGGATGTTGCAATTTTGGTGCTATCAAGAATGTTTGATGAAATAGAGAACCGTTTTAGAGGATAGTTCATAATGTGTTTTTGAAATTTTTCTAAATCATCGTATTTTATATTAGAAAGTGTCAATGAACGTAGTCGAGTAAATTGGTCAATATGAAAGTGGGAAAACATGAATCGAATTTCACTATGTGTTTCATTTTCATCTGAAAGCGTGAGTGAAATAACATTTTTAGGATCAATAATAAGTGACATGAGTAATAGATCCGATTTTGACGTATAACGAAAGTTCAACGCACAGCGATTATAAGTATTGGTAATTGCATAAAGTAATTTACATGTAGAGCGAATTGAAAAAATAATTGTCTGTATGTCGAGTTGATCGAAAATTCGATGAACCAATTCAATGGGTAATGTTTGTAATGAATACATGTTTTGAATAGACATAATTTGTTGTATGCAATGTGTAGATGTAGAATAAGGTGATTTTATTCAACATGTTTTTGTTATCTCTACATCCGTAAAAATCCTTTTCGTTATGTCATGTATGACTCTACAAAATAAGGAAGAAAGAACTTTCAGACATCATGATTCATCAAAATATTTAGAAAATAATTCAGCGAGTCACCTTTATTGTGGTTTCAAATTAAGAGGCAATAACTTTTAAATGATAAAAAAACTAATACCGAACCTTATATTCCAAAGTTAAGTTCTGTAGTTAAGCTTGATACATGATAATTCTTTTCTTTTTTGTGATTAGACAAAAAGCTTAATCCTATTGAACTACCTAAATTAACAATGTGGTTTTTTATTCGATGACTCTTATTAATCGTGACCGATCAGTATAGTGTTTTTGTAGTGATTTCACATCCATATGTAATACAAAAGCATGTTAATTTCAATGATATTCTTTCAGTGAATTTACATATTTTCTGAATTTTGAAAGCGATATTTTCGGTCAATAATCTTCTGGGTTTTTTCTCAGACATATAGCTGTCATCCTTTAACTGCAGCAGAGGTATGACGAACGATGGCATGCTTTTGTTCTATTCTGTTATTTATGTACTATGACATCGTTTTTTCCCTGCTCCATTCGGCTTGTTCCTATTTGTGATAAGCGTCATATTTTTCTTTCCATCTATGATGACAAAAAAAACATTTTTTCCATTCTTATTTTAGAACAAAATGCTTATGTGAAAAAATTCGTAAACATGTAATCAGAAAATTATCGTTTAAAAAAGTAAGTTTTAACCAAAACAATTGACACTTGCATAATTATCTACAGTAGCTCGATAATTACTACAGTTCCCCAGAGCATACTTGGAAATAACAAAACGATTCATCTCGTTCTGTATGAAATTTAATACCACTTTAAAATTTCATCCAATATATTAACAGTAATTTTGATAATCTCCTCGACTTAGATTGTAGATTCAAATGAGCATGGGAATGGATAAGATGACATTGTGATGATTTCTACCGAGTTTGTTACGTTACATCATTCAATACTCTTTCAAGGTGTAATCCGATGTTCCTTTGTAACGTTTAGCATTCTATCAAAGTTGCCTGCCAACAAGCATATTCTCTTCTCTCATCTAGAATTATGATTAGTTTACGGACCAGGATTCTGACAACGATAAGCGTTTCTTCTTCAGTTGTAAATACTCAGTTGATCTTTATTCTTCTCTTTATATCTTTCTCCTTTGCATGCATATGTATACGACTGTTCTTTGCGAGCATGAAGCGAGTAACGACATGAAGCAGCTGACTAAAAGACAGCACTGCTGTCAACACTTTTTCTACCCTAAAAGCGTTACAGAAAGATACACAGACAAGCAGAAAAACTAAGTGGAGTGTGCCATGATGTTAAATCTACGCTGCATTCGAAGAATGCCTTTTTTCTTTTATTTCATAATTTTTCTCATTGTATATCACTGTTATATTATGCTTATCAGTCAGCTCTGGGTTTTTATTTTTCTTGTTATTTTAGTATAGAAAACAGACATTCAAGAGGATTGATAAAAAAAAAGCATACATAATTATCAGTTTGTATTCTGATGAGAAGTCTACTATTGCAAATCTAGAATTCCCGTGTGACATGTTAACAATACATGTTTTAAGATTCTTAACGGCGGATGGTATCAGTATTAAAAGAATAATGCTGATAGCATTGACTGACGCACAGCTCTTCTCTGTCCTGAGTATTTTATTTTATTTTTTGCTCTTATGTCTCACTTTATCGATAGGGTGTGGGTGTGCAAGCACTAAAGTCAAGTACAAATTATGTCGTATTTGAACTTGATCTTATGTTATCTTCATTTTCTTATGAGAAACATAATAGGCAGGTAACTTTTTTCCTATTTATGCATATAGAATTGGTCTCTGTTATTCTATCTGTGCCGTCTAACAAAATCGTTTTGATAAAAATGTTATGAATTTACTGTGCGATTGTTTCTCCTTTTCAATAAGGTCAAAGATTTGCCGTGAAATGTTCATGTGCACACATTCGAAGTGAGCGCTTCAAAATGTATTCCGATCGGTCGGTCGTTATCCCTTCATTCCTCTATTTCTCTGTTCCGTTAATTCTCTTTGACTGTATAATCCATTCATCGGGCTACCCAATACTCATCGAAATCAGAAATACATGTAATATCTATATACTTTCTGCTATGAAACATTTAGATGTTCATATCTATGGGAATTTTTCACGCTTTAAATCCTACTCTACATAATTTTTTTCTGGGAAAATTTTAATAAATTTAATTTCAGTATTTAACTGCGTAGTATTTCATTTAGTTTAAGTTAGTAATATTTTCTTTAAGAAATAAGAAAGTAATGCCATTAGAATGTTGCATGATTTCTCTCTAATATACAGAAGAAAGTTCTGATGTTCTGATATTTCTTTCTTTTGATTCAGATGTACAATAGATTCCGGTTTTAGAGGTAATAAATATTTTCATTTGCCATTTGACGGTACACTTGACTGATATAACCGTGCTCGTTACCGTTCGTCGTTAGCTTTTATTTAATTTGAGAATTTCTACTAATACTAGCTCAAGAAAGAGAAACTTTTTTCTCTCATTTCAATCAATGCTATAATTGTATTCTACACTGTAAAAAATATCCGTAGAATAAAAAACGAAAAAAGGGTTTATGAAAGTACAACGTGTCACAAACCATTTTAAAGGGTTTATTAAGGCGTTATAAACCCTTTCATAAACTCTAAAAAAAAGGGATGAATATAGGGTTTATGAGTTGCAAAAACTGGCCCTGAAGGATTTATCAAAGGGATTATAAATTTCATAAATCCTTAAAAGGTTTGCTACACGTTGCACTTTCATAAACCCCTTAGAAGGGTTGATAAAAATACAATACACAAAGTTTAACCTCAGAAGACTCATTTGTAAGTGCTTATGGAGGTTATGAATGGTTGAATAGGTTTATGAGAGGGAAGATGGATCTCTTTAACTGACTCAAGGGTTTATAGAAGACAATATGAGTGGGTTGATTGATTTCAATTATTGTGATTGTGTATAATATTTTCTCCTCCCCCTATGTGTTAACATGATAATTCTCTTGTTTATTAGTTAATTTATTGACGTTTCGATCGATGAAATCGATCTTCTTCAGAATAAAATAGGAAATGAATACAGAAAAAGTTCTTTTACTGATGATTCATCCAATTGTTAATTTTTCCTTTATTTTCTCTATAAATAATACAGTACTGGTACGGAAGAGACGCTGTATACTGGAACTTCTTTTGTTTGATATTTAGTTGTCCGTACCAGTACTGTAAAAACACAAAAACTAAAATGTTGACAATTGAATGAATCATCAGTAAAATAACTTTTTCTGTATTCATTTCCTATTTTATTCTGAAGAAGATCGATTTCATCGATCGAAACGTCAATAAATTAAATAGTAAAAAACAGAATTACCAGGTTAAAGCATACGAAGATAAGAGAAATTTGAGAGAGAGAGAGGATAATTATATCACCAGAAAACAAAGCAACTTCGTAAAGGATTTTACTCTCTAAAAAAAATCAGTATTCTCGGAAACCAAGAGAGAAAGGTTTCCGAGTGTTTGGAAACCCATTTCTTGTGGGTGTGGGTGTTGGATATGCGCGGAGTGAACTTCTTCCTTCCATCAACATCCACACCCACACCTACACCCATACCCACACCCACACACCCACCCCCACCCCCCCCCGCCACAGCCACACACTAACTCCCTGGCACACATTTTCGGATATTGTCTTGCTTTTGAATCAACTATGCCTAAGTTAGTTTGAATTTTAAGAACCTAATTTCACCACTTTCTAATGCCATTCGATTGTGAAACTTAGTTGCCGACAAAAGACCCGATGCAGTATACATTCTAGTGAAAAGAGAAAAGTTTTATTTAACTATTCATTTCACGAATAGTAAAATTCTAGAGAAATTTTAGTGCAAGTATGATATATTGACGAGATTTTTTTTTCTTCGGGATTCTGTAATTTAATACACATAGAATCCATCTTTACACTGCGTGTTAATTATTAAAAGAAAGTTCAGAAATGTTATGAATAAAAAAATAAAGTTTTTTCTAGATATTTGTTCACATGATATTTTTACGACAGACAGGACAAGTGGATCTGATGACAAGCCACTGTGAAGTACATTCTTCATGAAAGAAATGACCACAAGGCAATCTTTTCAGCTTTTCGTTTGATTCAAATTCCATGTGACAAATGCAGCTAAAATAAGAAAAAAAAATTATTGGAAGAGTTTATCCGGTAGATCATTGTGATTAGGGGTCTCAATTTACATTTTATTTAATTTAAATTCAACTTTGTGAAAAGTTAATTTAATTTTAAATTAAATTCTATCAAGTTAAATTTAAAATAAATTTAAATTCTTCTGATGCAAAAATTTAAATTTATTTAAATTTAAATTTTCATAAGTTAAATTTAATTTAAATTAACTTTTTTGAAAATTTATTTCTCGATTTAATAAATTTTTTTAAATTTAAATTTAAAATTTAATAAATTGTTTGGATCGATACGCATCATTGCTACGAGAAAAATACGTGACTTGAACAGTAGTTAATACAAAATGAGAGGAAAACCTAGTATTTTACATTAATATTTGTTCGTAATAGTCAAAATTTCTCTACAGATTATGCAGGATCCGTCAACTTTGTTCTTCAAAATACTAGGATACTCATAAAAATATATTTAATAGCACAATTTATAGAAGAATGACTAGTTTTAACTTCAGAAAACAGGAAACATACTCAAATTTGACTTTAAATAGTAGCAATCAAGTCAAAAACTATGTTTTTCTACTAGTTTTCAAAATTTAACTGATTTGAATTTCAAACAATTTAATTTAAATTTACTTAAATTTAAATGATACAAAATTTAAAATTTAATTAAATTTAAATTTCTTGAATTTAAATTTATTTTAAATTTAACTTTTCATTCGAATAAAAGTTAATTTATTTTAAATTTAAATTTTTGAAAATTTATTTCTCGATTTAATAAATTTTTTTAAATTTAAATGTGACACCCCTAATTGTGATATATTTTACGAACCATTTCTTTTGGTTGAATGGATCGAGTGTTCGACCGAAATAGATTATTGGTAAAGCATTAATACTTTCTTTGGATGCTCCGAGATGAATACCCATTTGAAGAGGTGTAGCATTGAGCCATTGCTACACATAAAATATTGAATATAATGGAACAGTTTTTAGCAAAATATAATGATCTCTTACCTGAAACATCATCATGAGTGGGGCTCTGATGCGAGAAGGTAAACAGAATATTAAACCACCACCACAGAGGACGATAATTAAAACTGTAACAAGAAGGAGTAATAGTATAATAACTGGAGAAAAGAGGCGAAATATGTGCCAATAGTAAAGAGTTTTATATAGATGAGGTGCTACTGTGTGACATGATCCTTCTGGGTGTGGTTGAAAAAGAAATACGGCCCCGATTGCTTGGTACCATATAAAAAATATTGTATATAAATAACTCAGTACAAAGTGAAACACTAATAAACGGATGAAAAAATTTCGCCAACGAGGCAGACTATAAAAGTATCGGCAAATGGTGAAGAACATATAATGATGACAAAGACAAAACCCACACATACTCAATCCAATCCGAGCAAATGAATTGAGTGGTGCATGCAAATAAAGATCTTCTATACTTTTATATGTACATTGTAAATCATGAACCTGAAAGCTGGCAGGCAACACAGTGCTAATATAGATCAAATCGATAATTGTGCGAAGAAAAATGGTAATTTCGACCGCTGTGGTGTTAGATCCTGGCAAAGAAAGTTTCGGCAATGGACAGAACCACATAAACCATTGAGTTACACACACTACACCAAGACTAACTCGAACATATTCAATCTCGTTATTTGCCGACGCAACCGATGTGAACATACAATAAGTACCGATCGAGGTTAATGGAAATGAAACAATAACGAGAAAGGTCCGCAGATAAACGATGGATTTGAAAGGTGATGTACTCAGATCCGATAAAATATCATTCAGCGACATGTTATTTCGTATAATTAATTCCAATAATAAGAGAAGATCGATAGCATTTATGACGAGTAAGCATATTGATATGAAATTATAAGCGTTCATTTCATTACTCTTGTTCCCTGCTTTAAATAAACCAATTATAAGAATCATGATATTTATGATCTTTAATGGAATATAATATAGGTTCCTCCAAGAGGAATCATCAAGTTGAAGTAACGTATCGATACGTGCTGGTATACTATTATTTATAACTGGGCCAAGAGGAATTAATGTATTTCTGGTATTTATTGAATTGTCAGAGCGCTGATCATTCAATAGAGTTCTAAGTTGATTAAGATTATTATTTAATCTGTCTGTATTATTGAATGATGTAGACATTAGAATTAATAATCGATATCTAAAATTGAAATAAAAATATTGAGCAAAAAAGTGAATCATCATCTATCAATACTTTAATCGAGTTTTTTTGAAAAGATTCAATGAAATTATTAAATATGAAGAACGAAAAGAAAATTGATTATTTTCCAGTTTTCATAAGCGGTGTTACAGTTTGAAAAAAAAGCAGTTGAACTACCTTATGAAAATGTTTCCTTTGAACTGACAAACTAAAATGTTAATTTATAGTTATTTTTTCCTTTGGAAGTATCAAAATCATGCGTCACTCAAATCTATTGTATGCAAGCGAAATTTCCAACAAATGGTTTAGTTCCTTTTCTCTGCCTAAAAATGTTCGTTTTTTTTTCTTTTACACTTTCTGCATGCTTTTCGGCAGTGCGATGGAAGCATAAACTCCATTAAGAAAAATATGAAATGTGTTTTTGTTTACTTTTATTCATGATGTTCTGAGTGTTCGTGAATAAAATTTCACATTTCTGTTCGATCGATAACGATCCAAACGTACATAAGAACTTATGCATTAACGAAGAAATATAGAGAATCAGAAGACGTCATACTCATAATATTGATAAGAGTCTAAAATAAATGACATAGTCTGAGTCGCTCAGGCATTCTTATAAAGAAAAATAACACAGTGTAAATGAAATTGCTTGAGGTATAGAATCATTATAGTTTTGGTTTCACTTTTAGCACGTGAAAAATTGATCATATCTTAATATATTGAAGAGATATTTTGCCATCTTATTGTGAAGATAGAATTAGAAAAGCAAAATTAATCATATGCAAAGTCGATTATATGTTGCTCCGTGTAGACAAATGAAGGGAACACAGTTCTGTTTTGAATATATTTATGTTTTGGTGCATATTGAATGCTATTCTTACGAAGACTTAAGTTCTTATGTGTTTGCAGTGGTCATAGGTTACTCATGGAGTTTTAGTAGTAATATTATTGCCATTGATTCATAAAACGTTTCTATTGATCGGTGGTAACTGCATTTTCTGGGCTTGATTAATAATTTAAACGACAAATAATTGCTCGACTAAAAAGATACTTTTCATTACATTAGAAAATTCAATAGCTGAATTCTTAGTTTTTACCAAAATCATCAGATATACATTTTCAACGATTGGAAAAAGCCAACCGTTAATAGCTTTTTTTATTTTTTGATCCTTTACGTTTTCGTTTCTCTTTTTGTTGTATGGTGAATAAAAAAGATAAAGTCTTTTTTTCGAAGCTATGCCGAGCTATATTCGTTGCCTATATATAGATCATAACCACTGTGCTTCACGAAAAAAAAAACTCGTATTCTTTTCAATAGCTCCATGGTACAATTGGCTTTTATTTTACAAATGAAAAAATATGTGAAGGCATGAGAAAATTATAACGTTTAAAATCCCAGGAGAATCGTGGTACGTCGGATCTTGTCGGCCGGCTTTCGAATCCGTTCATACCCGGCCATCGGATCCTGTCGGAAACAAATAATAAAAATCGGATTTGTGCTAAAATCCATGTAACATTATTCCGACCGCCGGATCCGGTAGAATTCTCAGGATTTTTATCGGATCTTGATAAGATTTGTTAATCAAACGAAATTCTATCGTTATCGAATCAAAAACCCGTGTAAGGATCTTTTCTTCAGGAATCTCATCATAAAGTTACTTGAATATTGGTATCAGAGTGTGGGTGTGGGTGTTTTTTTTTGAATAGCAACCGTTACACGTTTCAACCTTGCTTAAGGGTCTCATCAGACGGCTTTCATATAATTAAATATGTTGTCTGTTCAAATGATCCTAGAATCATAAACTAGACGTTTATATTTAATAGATCTATACAATTCCCAAAAGGAACGAATCCAATATACATAGAATTGGTACGTCGTGAGCAATCCTACTGGTATAGATCCGAAATTCTCGCGAAACAAGCGCCTACGCAGCCTGATTTCGTCAATCGACAACGACTTCGTCTTGAGTTCTTGCTCCGTCAAAAAGCAGAGGATAAGGTCTAATAGTATAGAGCCAATCATTGTGTTTCGAGAATAGCATCATCGTAGTATAGAGCCAGTCATTCTGGCTTCAGAAGAGCATCTTCGTAGTGTCAAGCTAGTCATTGTCTCCTGAGAATAGCATCTTTATAGCATAGAGCCAGTCATTAAGCCTTGAGAATAGCACCTACAGAGTATATACCAAGTCATTGTGTCTTGAAAATAGTATTTTCATAGTAGATGCGTTCATAATGTGCTCGGCAGCATGAAACACGGCACACTTCACTTCTGCTACTGAACATTCGGCTGTTGGATGGCAGAAGGTCCTTCTTTCGATATTGAATCCTACAACAGACTGGTTGACCTCCTTGTCTCGAGCAGGGTAGGTCGGTCCGAGCTTTGTTGATATCGTGTTGGGTAATCTGGACATATGTATACCGTAGTTGTCTTGTTGAATGGGAGAAGATCGTCGTAGTAGAAGGCTAGTTGCGTTGAGGTGACCTATGTGATTGTGTCGTGTGAATCTTGTCTTGATATTAGTGGAGTTGAGAGTGTCTTATGTAATCTGATGTTGTGTTTACGGTAGTTGTCTTGTTGAACATTGTGATTTTGGATGTCAGAAGGTCCTTGTGTTGAGATTGAATCTTCTAACAAGCTGCTTAACCTCCTTGTCTCGAGCAAGGTAGGTTGATTGGAGCTTTATTAAGACCGTGTTGAGTAGCCTGGAGTTCTGCGTACGGTAGCTGTCATGTTGAATGTTGCGATGTTGCGATGTCAGATCGGAGACTGTTGTTGTGGAAGAAGGCCAGGTTCGTTGAGGTGACCTATGTGATTGTGTCGTGTGAATCTTGTCGGGATAGTTGCAGTGTCGCGAGTGTCCTGGGTAATCTGGAATGGTATGTACCGTAGTTGTGCTGTGCAATAGTGGGATGTTGGATCGCAGAAAGTCTTTGTGTTGAGATTGAATCCTTTAACAGGCGGGTTAGCCTCCTTGTCTCGAGCAAGGTAGGTTGATTGCAGCTTTCTTCATATTGTCTTGCTAATCGGGAGTTGTGTGTAGTAGTTGTGAATACATGCTAGAATGTCCTTTAGAAAATGTCCTTTACGAAATGTCCTCGGGATTTCGTCCTCGGAAAAAATGTCCCAGAAATTTTGTCCTTGAAAAAATGTCCTGCAGCATAAATGTCCTTCGTGAAAGATGTCCTTTGGAAATGGTCCTTTGTATGAAAATGTCCTTCGTCGTTAGAGATGCACCAACTCCTATTCTAACCAATTTCGATCAACTCTAAAAATTGAAATTGGTGTATCTTATCCCTATTCATCGTGAAGGTTGAGTGTGAGGTGTGGTTGTGGGTTTGTTATTACTATATTCTTGCTCACAGTTACACCGCGTACCCGCATCTCATATCCACACCTCACACCCATGGGAACGATCATAGACTAATACCTGTCAAGATTCTGAATCTGATCTTGTATGATCTTGTAAGATCAAGCAAATAATTGTCGTCTCAGAAATCTTAGATCGGCTCGTACCATAATATTCGTGAAAGATCTTAATATTGCATAAGATTTTCTAAAATCTTGTAGTCATATCTTACAATACAGCGAGATCTTTCAAAAATCTGATGATACGAACTGATGAAAGATTCCACAAACAACAATTTTTTTTATATGATCTTATCAGGTGTTCAAGATCTTATGCCAGATTTTTAGACTTGCGCAGCCATACTCTCACACTCACATAACGACCAAAGCCCAGAATTGCTGAACAACGAATCAAAGAATTGTATGATAAGTTCAACAATACCCAGATTACACTGCGAGATCTATTACATGGACTTTATTTTTTCTCGCGAATAAAAAATAAGATGAAATTCAATCCACTATAATAAACTAAACTGCGTTTCTAACATTATCGACTACCATTGCTTTTAAAGAAATAAATGTTTCAAGAAAACCAAGATCGACACGACGCGTTTCGTCCTTTCTTATGGGACTCATCAGGTATCTTCGGTAGCCTATAAATATTATATAAAGTAAAAATTCATTCAAAATTCAAAATAAAAAGAAATTTGAAGAAGTTAAAACTTAAACATAATAAGTAAAGACAAAATTTCAATTTTTAAAGAAATAAATGTTTCAAGAAAACCAAGATCGACACGACGCGTTTCGTCCTTTCTTAAGGGACTCATCAGGTATCTTCGGTAGCCTATAAATATTATATAAAGTAAAAATTCATTCAAAATTCAAAATAAAAAGAAATTTGAAGAAGTTAAAACTTAAACATAATAAGTAAAGACAAAA